AACCGGATATACAAGTATTAGTAAATGTATTTCCTCGCTTATGCTAAAATAGTTAAGACTTTTGAATACAAGGCCGTGTGGTAGTCGAAGAACACTTCATCTTGAAGACAACAATTACTTTTACGAGAGAAGTTCTCCAAGTGATCTATTGCTTTTACCTTGAAACTTACTTGATTATAGGTAATTTTTGATGCTGATCCCGAATCTGATATTGGTTTATGCTGCCAGGACTTTGTACCTTGCATCTCTAGACACCGATCTTTGGAAATCTACCTTAAAATCCACGATGAGGAGTAGAAAGCCCTGGCAGCATAAATTAATATCGGATTCGGGATCAGCTTCAAAAATTACCTATGATCAAGTAAGTTTCAAGATAAAGCTTGTTACTTTAAAAACTAGCCAGTTTGAATTTTTTGGAGCAAGAAAAGTACATCATGGTTTCATCACTTCTAGAAAACCTGTTAAAAAGTCTTCAGAAATTAGTAATTATAAATTAGTATACGAAATAAATGGCTGCTGTGGAAAATGAAACCATCCTTTCGATATCTGAGCATTCTGAAACCATTCGAGCCAATTTTAGAGAGAAAAAGCTCTTTTCAATCTTTCCTAGACTGAACAGGAGTTGACAGCGATTCCAAACCCATAAAGGATCTATGTTGGTGGCAAAATAGTAAGCCGGAAATCTGATAAACTTATTATTCTCCGCTAAACCCTCGAGAAAATGGCTAAAAAGCTTTGTTGTCTATTCACTTGCCAACAGGATACGTACCTTTTACGGGCTTGGAAACAGAGTTTAGAAACATGAGTAATATACCCAAAATCCCAACCATTTGTTCGACGGGTATTTCGCGTACTCGAAAATATGCTTTCGAGAACTTGGTCCCTTAAAAAACTGAGATTTCTGACGCTTAGTCAGTGGACTGACTAACACAATATATGGCTGTCTTAGCTAGCAGATGCACCTCTAAAAAGTTATGTATGCATGTCCTCCAATTTTGTTTCGATGCTGAGAAAATTCATTTTTTCTAAATTAGAGCGAAAAACTCGGAATTCTCAATTTCCTTCATTAAAACTCTACTTTTGAGCAATACAAATGTCATATTCGGAATCGGGATTAAAATCTGAATCGACTGATATTTATTTCGAAAGCTTTAGTTGATTTTCAGTTTCGGGGAAAAACCTTGCTAATTTTTCAACGTGAAAATGCGAAAAAAATTAAAGTACTCGGATGAGATAAAGATACACATCAGTCGATTCAGATTTTGATCCTGATTCCGAATATGATATTTGTATTGCTCAAAAGTAGACTTCTGATAGAGGAAATTGAGAATTCCGAGTTTTGCTTGTTTCGACTTGAAAAGAGAACTTTTTCCAAACAATTTATACATGGTTAGAATCAGCACATCACGGTGCATCTATCCATGTACTGAAAACGAAAAAGCGATCGAATTTTGAATTTTCGAAACCTTATATTCGTCGAATTTCTTGTAAGTACACTTACAAGTGTGTAACTTTCCTCAAATTTTGTTTAAGCTTTTCTGTCATGCCTTTCAAGTGCGGTATAACTACAGTGGATGTATATATCCCGTTATCCTCGTTCTTACTGTTGTGGTTTTTCCTAATGTTTCTAACTTTATTCTTTATAGTTTTTGTGGTAGAGTTAGGATAACTACTATTTAGCA